TCAATGGAAGCTATTTAAATCAACACTTGGAAGCATTTTAACAGAAAACTGCATGCAAAGACCACCACAATTTTGGCATTTCTTAACTTTTTGATGGTTGATTTTTCAACCTTACAGTTATTTTTATAGGGTTTTTTGGGGAAACTATCTATTTGTGTATATATAATACATAAACATGTATGCCTATATGCACTTTCATATACATGCGTCTCCTAGAAAACTGCGCTATACTAGTAATTATTATAACAAACCAGTAAATATTGACTATCTGGTTTAAAGTTTTGTTTTATACACTAGCTTGATATTTTCTTACAGCACATCACCTTGAAGGTAGCACATACGGGATTCTGGGATCTTCCTAATCATCCGTCCCATGAAGAACTCACTTCCAAAATCCTCTGTGCGCACAAATGCTCCATATTTTAGAACTCCCACCTCATAGGGGGTATACTCAACCCATTCTGCAAACCATACCATGAAAAAAAAAAGACATTTAGATCTCAGACTTCCACATTGCATTTGGAGAGGGATGCAACTATCACATATATCAAAGAACTGTAAATAGAGTAAGCCTCCTAGTTTGTCTTGTTTAAACCCCACCCCCTACCATTTACAAAGCACCACCTCTGGGCCAAATATTTAAAGTTGGGAACATGTAGTTGATCCCATATATTCACATATACTTGCTTTACACTCAAGCAGACATGAGCAGTTAGGCAACTAACTTGGTACATGAATTTAGAATTCTTTACACACATGGTAAACTGTCTCTGCTTCACTTACACTGATTTTATACTAGGGTGAACCATTGACTTCAGTGGCATTATCAACATCAGGCCCCTTGCACTTTTTGATACATATATTAGGCATATAGAAATGTAAAGCATACAGCTCTGTGCTCAAAGCCCTAAAAAACTGGCTTAGTATATTTCATAGATTTCATAGACATTCGGGCTGGAAGGGACCTCGTAAGATCATTGGGTCCAGCCCCCTGCCCATGGGCAGAAAATCAGCTAGTTCAGTTAGATTGGTTTAGGCATATCCAATCTAACTTCACCTCCAAAGTACAGTTAAATTAGATTGAGTTGGCCATTTTTTGAGTGAACCTTCCTGGAACTGCTATACAGTTCGCACTTAGACTGACCTAACAAAAGCTCCAAATGTAAGGTCTACATGTGGGCAAACTAATTTAGATCAGGTGGCCAATTTTAATGCAATCTAACCTCCCCTAACGTTTGTATGGACCCTGAGTGCTATCACAGAGCAAACAAAATAAGTGAACAGGTAGGCCCATGACAAAATAGGTTTAAAGAAAAATACCACTCTCAAATGTCATTACCTTTGAAATCTTCGGTGCTGTATTTGTCCCTGATATTAACTGCCACATAAATGGGTAGTGGGTTCTGACCATTGCTCAGGGCTGCTTGTTGGTCTGAGAGTTTATGGCAGTCTTTCTGTTTTTAAAGAAAAAAACAGTTAACTGCATGAAGATTGGCACAAAACCATAATGCTTCAGGAGCAATATTGAGAGTGACTGTACCCCAAAGCAATACACACAAGGTGACTCACTATACATGGAAAAGACCTAGACCACACTTTCTGGGCTTCCAATTATGCTTTGTGGGTTGATACAGAAGGGAGGAATGGAAAGCTACACTTCTGTCTTTTTCTTGGCATTTCAGAAAATTAGCTTCTCAGTTGAAGAAGTAAGCAAGCAAGTTTTGTTTTACTCATGCTGAAATGTGAGTGGCTATGCTAAAGGGCAGTGGCAAAGCTTCTTCCATGATGCAAAGACCATTACCATCTGACCCTGGATCCAAGCTTTGAATATTGTAGTGAAATGCTTTAATCCCAAGCATGCTCTTTTCTGTAAGACTAGTATCAGCCTACTTGTCAAAGATATCCCAATATACCATAAACTCTGGACTACTTTGATAGCTTCAAGCTCTTAAAGAATGTGTGTAACTGATGACATTAATTCAGTGGGGAAGATATATGGCTGGCATATGAGAAAGATCTTGTATATTCTGGGAAAAGACAGACCTATCCCAATTGCAATTCAATACTGACAAGTGCAAGGTACTGCACCTGGGAAGGAGGAACCAGCAGCATACCTACAGGCTGGGGAACTCCCTTCTCATCAGCACAGAGGCAGAAAAGGATCTTGGAGTCATTATTGATTCCAAGATGAACATGGGCCGCCAATGTGAGGATGCAGTCAGGAAGGCTACCCGCATCTTGCATGCATCCACAGATGCATCACGAGCAGGTCCAAGAAGGTGATCCTCCCCCTCTATGCGACATTGGTCAGGCCACAGTTGGAGTACTGTGTCCAGTTCTGGGTGCTGCACTTCAGGAGGGATGTGGCCAGTATGGAGAGGGGCCAGAGGAAGGCCACTCGCATGATCAGGGGGCAGCAGGGCAGGCCCTACAAGGAGAGGCTACAGGACCTGAACCTGTTCAGCCTTCACAAGAGAAGACTGAGAGGGGATCTGGTGGCCATTTATAAACTTGCCAAGGAGGACCAGGAGGCAACGGGAGAGTCCCTGTTCCCCCCGAGCACTACCGGGAGTAACAAGGAATAACGGCCATAAGTTGACTGAGAATAGAAGGCACTAACTTCAGAGTCAGGGCAGCTAGGATCTGGAACCAACTTCCAAGGGAAGTGGTGCTGGCTCCTACCCTGGGGGTCTTCAAAAGGAGGCTAGATAGACACCTTGCTGGGGTCGTTTGACCCTAGCATTCTTTCCTGCCCATGGCAGGGGGTTGGACTTGATGATCTGCTCAGGTCCCTTCCAACCCTACCAACTATGAAACCATGAAACTATGCTCTCACTCTGCACACACAAAAACATGCGAGTATTATACCATGGCTGGAGTAATGGATTTCAGTGATTAACTCAAAAACAATAAAAACTTTCCTGCTTACTATTCTCAACTAAAAAAAAATCTAATAATTTATAAAAGAAAAATATCAACAGAGTATAGTAGTGTCTACCATAGGGCTTTTTTTCCCCCCAGAAGTGTTCTCTGAGTTATCTTGGCCAAGGCAGGTTTTATCTTTAGCTGGTAAAAATGTCATATTTTATATTTGACTGTTTCAAGAATGGGTAAAAACACCATGTGACATTTTAATTTCAAGTCAACTTCTGCACTTATAGAAAATGTAAATAATTTTATCCCAAGACTCTTAAATTTACAAGCATCTAAAATCAGGGCCGTTTGATATTTGTTTCCTCGGCTGGGTCATTGCCAAATTCTAATTAAAAAGAAAACATGCTTTATTTGTTAAGACTCTTGTAGTAACTATGCCATCACTTGGTATCTTTAAAGAGGAGGCAGGACACTAAGGAGGGTGGGTCATTTCCCTAAGGTAGTATAGAGCACAAACTAATACAGGACTGTCCAGCTTAAGCCACTGGGGGCTACAGACTGTCATAACCCAGTGATTTTTAGTGCCTCAGCACACTGGAATTTTCCCGCCACATGGAGCTTTCTTTGCACGGTGGATTTCTCAGCTGCAGAGAGAAAACCCTGGTGCAAAGAGTTCCCGCCACACGCATGCAAATTAGTGTCCCACTATTGGTCAATTCTAAATTATTCCTACGTGGCGGCTAGCAATTGGCTCGCTAGCCGTA